AAAACAGTTACGACTGAATAGTGAGTTAGATCCTCACTGGGTGCCCCATACTTTCGGCCATGTGCCACATCTAAGCCACGCTTAGAAAATTGATATTCATAGCTGGGAGGGGAAGATATTTAAAGAGGGCTTAGAAAATGTGATACGTATAAGGCAAATTGAAAACAAGGGACATAGAGAAAAACAAGGGAAATAACTCGCCTAGAGAGCTTGAGTAAACGGATGTTAACGATAGGTTTAGGAAAGATAACAAAAAGACAAAATTTATTAAGAGCTAAAGTTGAATTCAGAAATTTTTCTTCTCCTAGATCGGTTGCCACCCAAGGCTGTAGAATCCAGTCCTCCTATTTACTCATAGCTGGATTCATACTTTTCCCAAAGGTATTTTCACATACAGTGAATGTAATGAACTTGACTGGAATTCGAACTCAGCTCTCCAATTCCTCAATCAGAACTGTAAATCCATTATTCCACCAAGCCAGATTTACCTCGCTACATAAATAAATAAAAAAATCTTAAAAATGCACAAATTTTCTATGAACATAAAAATCTTATACTATTTTTAAAATGGAACTTCTTTTACAAAAAATGTATTTCTCATTAATGGAAAGAGTTTTTTTCATATCTTAATGCACTACTTTAAAATTAATCACCTTTGTTAAAAGTAATTTTATAATTCATGCTTAATGACAAAAGATTCTTATATTAATATCTTACTTAATTAATGATTGAATAAGCGAGTTCTATAACAATGAAATATCCGTAGAAATTCCATTATCGCATCGTTAAATATTAGAGCTTAATAACTTCACCAAAATATTGCAATAACAATCATAAATGTAAATGCTGGTCGCTATTTTAAAAAAATAAGGGGGTACAAATGAAACAATTTGACATTGACAACTTTTCCATTTCACTGAAACAAACGTTAAACAATTTCTTTCTTTCTTTCTTTCTTTCTTTTTCTCTCTGAAACTAAGTAGCGTCTCTGATATATATATATTTTCCTTCAAACTGATTAAAACGGAATAGTCCGTTATTTATGGGGCACTGGCAGTAGACTTTAACGCTTCTATCTTCCTTCCATTTTCTCACTGAAACCAAGTAGAGTTGTTGTTATGTCTTTTCCTTCTTTCCACGCTATGAGAACTGAATAGGTCATTATTTATGAGGCATTGGCAGGATAGCTCTTTCTTTCTTTGAAACCAAGTAGCGTTTCTGATATGTCTTTTCCATCTTTGCACGCGATCAAAACGAAATAGCTATAGATTAGTAGGACTTGTCTCAGTAAATCATTATTATCTCTCCCAAATTCTTGCAATCAAAAAATGCTTTCTGGTTTTAAATAAACCCCAAAAGTTCGATAAGCCGTAAAAACCAAATCAGTTATTCTTTTCATTCGTAATCAATACATATAAAAATGTATTTATTTGAATCCATCAGCGAATGCTGCTCTAATTCCAGCGGGAAAATAAGCACAGCAGATATTCGTAAAATGTGTACAGGTGATGGATTTTTATTACTTTTAAATTGCAGGCGATGTTTTTTAATTATAGATGAAATCTCTAAATTAGAGACGATGTCTTTAAATTACATGTGATGGCTATTATTTACAGATGATGTCTCTAAATAACAGGTGATATCTTTAAATTACAGGTTATAGCTTTTAATTATAGATGAAATCTCTAAATTAGAGACGATGTCTTTAAATTACATGTGATGGCTATTATTTACAGATGATGTCTCTAAATAACAGGTGATATCTTTAAATTACAGGTTATAGCTTTTAATTATAGATGAAATCTCTAAATTAGAGACGATGTCTTTAAATTACATGTGATGGCTTTTATTTACAGATGATGTCTCTAAATAACAGGTGATATCTTTAAATTACAGGTTATAGCTTTTAATTATAGATGAAATCTCTAAATTAGAGACGATGTCTTTAAATTACAGGTGATGGCTTTTAATTACAGATGATGACTTTTAATTACTTATGTAAATCTACAATCTCAGGACTTCAATAAATTGTCAGTTTGTTAAGGCGTTATCTTATTTTATTTTTGTTTTTGTAAAAAGAAGATTATTTGCCCCAAGTTCTCTTCGTATAGAATTTGTACAATTTGAAAATTTGAAAGTCGATTTTTCAATATTCGTTTCAATAAACTTTGACGTCATCGTATTTCCTTATCTAAATGTCTATGTGACATTTTATTGCGGCAAAAATTATCTATGCAGGTGGCGGACATAGATAATTGAAATTCTCCGAAAAGTTAATTTGTTTTTGTTTATACATTTTCTTATCCTATTTCATTTTCTCTCTCTCTCTCTCTCTCTCCCTCTCTCTCTCTCTCTCTCTCTCACACACACACACACACACACACACACGCGAATTGCTTAATAATAAATCCTCTATAATATATCGTAAACATGCCATTTTTTTTTATAAATTTTCACATATCAGTGACTATATCTCTACAAATCTAAAACTGTGTATCAG